TAAATGGTGAGTTAGATCATGAGTTGTGTTGATTTTGATGAGATATGCACATGCATGCATAGAATTGCTATGAATTGCCATAAATTTGTATAATCTAACATGTAGCATGTCAATTATAAAAGATTGAGGGTTGGATAATACATTCAAGCATGTTTTTGTTAAGTTTCATGAGAATGGACACCATTTGCATCATTTAAAATAGAAATGAAGTCAAAATTTGCATGCATGTTTGATTATTAAAAATGTGGAGCTTATATGAGGTTGAAAGCATGAGCCATGATTGATTTTGAATAATTGGACCATGATTTTGGGTGATTGGCTTCATGTTTTTTACATCCATGTGCTATATAATGTAATTGCATGTTTTGGACCGAAATCATGTGTTTAGAGCTTTTGAATAGCAAGTTTGAGCTCAAGAACATTCCTGGAAAACCCAGAATTCATGATGTCCGCTCGAGCGGGGAAACCGCCGCTCGAGCGTAAAATTCAGGCTCCCAGTATTTTTTTTTGCAGACATGGTGTCCGCGCGACCAGGGAAGTCACGCTCGAGCGGGGAGCTATGTAGGATGACTTTTTGCTTGAGCGCCCGAGTCCACGCTCGAGCGTAAAATCAAGGTAGCCAGAACTTTTGCAGACTTATTGGGTTCGCTCGAGCGAGGAAGTCCACGCTTGAGCGGGGACCCCTGTTTCTAAAATTTTGAAAATGCATTATGTGCTTCGTTTTCCATTCTCTTTCACTTTCAAGCACTCTTAGGCATGCATTGAGCATTATTAATGTGTTAAAAGGATAAGAATGAAGCCTAAAGAGGAATATGTGAATTAAGAACGGATTGAATCATTTGTGACCCATATGTGTTATATGATGTGTAGGGTCAAGCTTCAGGGCAAATCAACCAGCCGATCACTGTGAGTAATATCTTAATAAAGATATCTGAAGCATGTTATTTGTCCTATTACTTACTTCTATGTAAGTCTTATAAGTTCATTAATTCGAATGATAAATGAATGGGCCAGAGGCTAGTATGATCTGAATGATAAATGAATGGGCCAGAGGCCAGTATGACCCGAACGATAAATGCATGGGCCAGAGGCTAGTATGATCTGAATGATAAATGAATGGGCCAGATACCAGTCTGACATGAATGATAGAATGAATGGGCTAAAGGCCAGTTTGACATGATTGAAAGAATGGTTGGGCCAAAGGCCAGTCTAACATGAATGGAAGACAAATGGGCCAAAGGCCGTTTGACATGAATTGGGCCCAAGGCCGTCTGATGTATGTTGTTCTAATGTATCTTCTTTATTCGATATTATTCACTGGGCTTTTGCTTACGTTCATTCATGTGTTTGTAGGTGAGTCAAGAGAGGTCTAAACACAGCCCCAGTGAAGTTTGTGTGGAACAACCAAGGTTTTGAAGAGTCAGCCCTTACGTTTCACGCACGAGACTCGTCTCCGCCCTTTTGCTATCTTGTTTTATTTTGTCATGTTGGCGAAGACTTTAGACACGTTTGTATATAGCTTTGATTGGCTGACTTAGACTTGAATGATCCTGTGTGTACAGAGTTTTGTGTTGGTACATATTTTGATGTGAGTTATTAACAGATATATGTATGGTTTGTTATGGCGTGCCATGTAAGCACAGCTCTACGGACAAAGTTTTAAATTTTGCTTTCGTTTAGCCCTTTTTACTCTGATGAGTTATGTCTAGTTTGGTTTGAGGCCGTAGGTAATCTCAGGATTACTGGCCGGTTATGTCCTTAACCCATGGGGGCGGGTTCAGGTCGTGACAATACATATGGGTAATAGTTTGGTACCAATCCATGTAACTATAAACACAACCCTAAGGCTGCCATATCGGTGTAGTCCTCCTCTACTCAGATAACACATGGTTGTCCCATGTCTCCTAAATGATGTCCAAGTATGCATACATAACATTGTAGCATGGAGCTATGGCTCCTTAAGAAGTACGCATAGGGCCAAGTGATGGATTAGGGATTGTTTGCACTCTGTCAAACTGTCTTAAAACTTTATCAAGGTGATATTGTTCAACTACTTCCAAACACTTCAGGCAACCGTGGTAGAACATAACTAGATGACACAGATAGACATCTCTGAAACTCTGATACGGATCCCAAATAACCTACAAACAATAACAACTATAAGATATAACAACTATAAAATTTGTATGAAATAAAGTTTCAATTTCGAAGGACTTTTTAACTTAGGGGTTGTTTGGGATGTTCTAAATAAGTGCACTTTTTGACTTTTTATGAAATATGGGTTGGGTTTGAAGTGATGTGGTAGAAAGGTGATGTGACTTAAATAAGATGATGTGACTTAAATAGGATAGTGATTTTTTGACTTTTTGACTTTTTTAGTATATGCCAAACAAGGCCTTACATTGTGTACACCCAACCTATTAAGCTCCTCTTGAAAAGCCTGCAACTGTATCTCTTCACTAGACTCTTTCTGAGAAGTCCAACGGTAAACGTGTGGCATGTGTTGAGCATAATTCGTATTGAGGTGTGGTCGGAATCTACGAAAGTGCTCATAAATCCATCATTCAAGAAGTGTCATGTAATTGGCTATTTATTTCACATTGGACCTACTAGTGTACCCTAACTATTTGTATAAGTATGCTAATGCAGCAGCACCTAAGCATATGAAGGTATAGTCATCAAATCGGATAACAAACTCAAATAAACAATGAGGACCCTAGTATCAGTCTTGTCACTGAAAAGTGTACAACCCAACAAAAATAGCAAGTATGCTCTACCTGTATATGCAATTCTTTCCATTGAATAATCGTCTGTAACATTGTGAAAGTGTGCCCTCAATCACTCAAGGCTCACTGAATTGCCTCCAGCACTAGACATCTCATGTCTGATCTTTTGCTCATCAATTTTCAACATATTAACTACTAATGCAATAGCCCACCTTTTTGACAACTTGCACATGCTAATAGATTTGCCTACAAAGGGAAGCCATAGGATAGTAGTGACATTGTCCAATGTGATAGTCATCTCTCCAATAGTCAAATGGAATGTGTTTGTCTTCGGTTGCTATCTCTCAACAAAATTGGACACAACGATTTTGTTGACAAAGTGGTATGTGCAACGAGCTAAGTGTGCAAGTCCTGACATCTCCATAATGTTTACAAATGTAGCAGTATTGCCTTGTTCCAACATGACCACGAACGAATCTTAGAAAAGTGATTATGACACTTCAAGGGCCCTATTTCATCAGCACCATTCCAAATAGTTGCGGCAACATGACTTTTAAAACTTTTAAGATTGACAGATCAGCTGGCCCTCTTGGAAATGGCTGAGTAAGGATATCTTCATAAACAATGTCAACATCATCACCAGTAGGGTCATCATCTATAGCAATATTGTCCATAACTGGTGCATTGTGTATAGTATCATCATCCATGACAATGTGTGCATCATCATCATGCACTCGAGCTGTCCATGTCCACATCCATGTTTAGCATTTTCTAATTCACGGAGTCTTCTATTCGAAGTTGTTATTGACCAACGTTGACTGGGACCGGCATCCATCTGCATAAGCAAAATTGTTCTCATTAACCCAATAGAGCATTTACGTTGAAAACACTCTAATAAAAATACAATGAAATAGTCAAATTGTAGTCATTAACCAATATAGCAATAACATTAGAGGTTAGACTAGGGTGTCTTCTCTACTTACATGAAATTTGAGTTCAAATCTCACTAGTAAAATAAAATAAAATAAAATAGTTGGAAAAGAGGAACCGAAAAGGGAAAAAATAGACCTAAAAGAATAAAATGATGGCATGAATTTCAGTGAATAATACTAGTTTCCATGTCAGTGCACCACAACAGATTTGCTTCTACTCCCATTCACAAAATCAAACTCTCAACAGCACTCCAATCCTGTCATTTTTTAAACATAAATGAACCCAAGGTCCATGTGTAATGTTGTCTAAATAAATAAATAAATAAATAATAAATAAATCATTCGGAACTGAAGTACCGAAACAAAATACAGCATTCAGAAAATCTACTGTTGAAAAAATTGACAAAATTCAGAACTACGGAACTAAAATAATTTGTTAAATTCGGAATTCAACCATCGATATTTTTGTTTTTATTTGAAACTAACCTGGCGAATTTGTAAATATTATTCAGAAGTAAATTTCTGAAATAAACACATAATTTCGGAAGACCGGGACCGAAAACTTAAAATCGCAAAAGTTCAAAGAAAAACCGAGAGTTTTATGGCAATGGAGTGCATAAATGTCTAGAAATGATAAATGTAATAATAAAATGTTAAATGCAATAACAAAATGGAATGATGATTCACCTTTAACAATGCAATGAAGTCTTTTCCATGGTGTTGTCGATCGAGGTCTTTAATGGAATGGAGGTCTTCAATAGAGGACTTTGGTTCTTCAATATGGGTCTTCACTTTGACTGTTGTAGAACTGTGGATCTACAAATTTTCAAACCGTAATAGTAGGTAGCGTATGGAAGGAGGGACAAGTGTGTGAAAGGAGAGTTGAAGGGGTGTGTGTATAATAATATGAGTGAAGGGTATAATTGATACATTTAGTATATGAATTGAGAAAATTAATTAATAATTAAATTACAAAGTGTGTGTATTAAGAAATGATATGAATTGAGATAATTAAGTATGTGAAAATAGAAATTTTCTATTTTCATGCGAAGACTTTTAAATAAAAAGAATTCAAATTCAAATTTTTGACATGAAAGCCTAAACTAAAAAAATATGAGAAAAAAGTAAGGATTGATTTAAAAAATTGACGAACGCAAATGGAAACACCAAACAAAAGAGCGTTTTAGAAAGATAATTAAAGTTGAGTTTTTAATTTTTTAATTTTTTAATTTTTTTTTATGTGAAAAGAGAAATGAATTAAAAATTAATTTTTAATGCACTTCCCCAAAAAGGCCAAATGCGGTTTGGAGATAAAGATGCTAGCCAGCCTATTATTGAATTTGATCGGTGCGTTACGTGACATGCATTAGCCAATTTTTTCTCCCTACTCCTCCCTTTCTTCCCTCTGGTTTTGTCTCTCTCTAAACCCTAAACCCTTTGTATTTCTCTATCTTGGATCCAAGCCAGACTGGACACACAATTGAAGTGATTTATAGGGTTTTAAGGATTTCCACAGCCAATATTTGTAGCGATGGAGGTTGATATGGAGACTTCTCCCAGCTACTTCGACCCCGAAGATCTCAGCACCAGAGAGCGCTATCGTCGTTATGGGTATTCTATTCTATTTACCATACCATACGCTTTCCATTTCAGTACTAGTCGCTTTTTTCCGTCTATTTCTGCTTCACTATTATAACAACCCCTTTGTATCCTTAAAATGCCCAATTTCAACCAGTATCATTTGGGTTGTTCATATGTATTTCCATCAATTTGGTCTAACCACATTTATTTCCCCGTAGTATTAGTGCATTGTGCTCTCAGGCAGTGTTGGTGAATAATGAATTGGTGAAAGCGTTATGCACACTTGAACACAAAGGCATCTTGGAGCGTAGGTGCAAAGCTCACAGAAAATAATTATAATGATAATGATTCATAACATATATAATAAAAAGTTAAAAAGTCAAATAGCAATATATTTAGCCTTTTAACTGAAATGGTTAGAGTCTTATTCAGTTGTACAAAGGTTGTAGTTCAAATTTGCATAGGCTTGTTGATGTAGGACAAATAGAGATAGCAGCAACAGTGAGCTTTGGGGCTGATTTTAATGTCAAAGTGCAGAAAACATAATAGGAGAAGGAGAAGAAGAAGATAGTTGTAGGAATTACTCCTAAAATCCTTTAGACATCACACCTAGGTTAAGAAGCATGGACACTAACACTCGTTGGACACTTCTCGACATGTGTCTAACTCTTGTCAAAATGTGTCCTATTTTTTTAAAAGATTTTTAGATCCGGACATTTGGAGGACACATCTGTCCATTGCTTAAACATAAGTGTCCATCGAGTAGACACACATAAAACTAGTTATAACTTATAAGTTTGAACTAAATAACTTAGGATACAATAATAAAAGAAAAAACAAAGTAAATTTATAAAATAAGTGTTATATTACATTTTTTATTATTTTTGAATGACATAGTCATATATGTGACATATGATAAATATATTAAATTATATATTTCATACGTGTCCCCCGCGTGTCCTACATTTTTTGAAAGTTGGCATGTCTGCATGTTCGTATCGTATATGTGTTGTGTCGCGTGTCCATGTCTGTCCTTCTTAGTACCTGGGATTTGATTGCGTCACACAATCCGTAAGAAAATTTCAAAGCTTCTAAAATTCTCTAATATCAACTCTATTAACTTAGAAGCATTACACAACTTTATATAAGCTTTAGAGATTTCCTATTCCAACTAGAACTAAAAAAGAAAACTACTAAAAATACTATGACTTTCAAAACTAATTTAAGGCCAAATAAGAACAATATAATAAAACTAATTAAATAACTTGATCCACAAGACAACCCATGGGCAACCCCTACAGCCCATGTCAACAAATATGAAAATTACCAACATACCCTTGCCCTAAAAATCCTAGAAAACTTAAAAATAATAATAAAATAACACTCTAATAATATTAGAAATATGATTATATATGGTTCCTATTGGTTTTTCTTTGAAACCATGCCAACTTTCAAATATTGTTGCTTTTTTGAATTTACGCTTCCTTGTGCTTCTTATACTTTGCATCACTTGCCAATATCTTTGAATTTGAAAACAATTATTGATGGATAATGTAACAAAGTGACCAACTAATCATATACCATTTAAACAAATCTTTTTATATAATTTCTCACGTGCTTTACCAAATATTCACAATTACAAATTATTCTCAATCATGATACTTGATAGTCATAATCAAAATGAAGTATATGCTTGAATAAAAATATATCTAAAAGTCAAAATTGAAAAACACTAGTGGTCCATGCCTAACATAAGCAATGCAATACAATCCTATAAGTGTATAATGATCATTCTCATTAAGCATACCACCATGATCATTGTAATCTAAAAGTAGAGCTGATAAATTATATGTGTTAAAATATAAAAAAAAGCTCGATTTAAGTGTATTAGATAGAATGTTTTTAGTGCAGTGTTGTGAATACGCTTCGTTTTACCTACTAAAAGCTCTTCTGTTATTGCATTTTAAGTGCATTTTTACCAACCCTATTTTAACAAATTACAGAATTTACTGTATTTCGCTTGTGCATACCTGCACTAAATGATTATGCAATGTGTGGGAAAAGGCACTCAACTTCCAGTCACGACAATTCAGTTTCTAAGTTCAGTGGAACCAGGATTTTGTATGATGGGCAGAGCATTGAAAGGCGGCCAAACGCTGCACTTTTTCTTGAAGATATCAAACAAGAGGTTGAGAGCTTTGATTCTGATCAATTAGAAGGAACACCCGCAAAGACACAATCTGCTTTGTGGAGAAAATCATTGGCTGGCAGTCGCGGTGTATCTGAGGTAGATGCTGCTGCTGATTCAATACGTCGACCTGGAAGTTATTCATTAAAATCTTGCAAGCATGAGGATGATGCATTGTCAGATGGTGGAGATACAACTTTTACTTTATTTGCTTCTCTACTTGATTCTGCTCTCCAAGGTGCTTGAAGTAAATTTTCTCAATTAAAATCACAATTTTCTCACTGTTTTTGCATATGGATTGGTCTCTTACGTCAATGGTTAAAGATTTTGGCCAGGTTTGAAGGATGTGTTTAAGTTGCATTTATTCATCTAACCTATGCCAGTTTATGTAGGTGTGAGATCACAAGATGTTTTCTTGAATCTAATTAATGTTTATCAATTTTGGAGCTGAGTGGATCATTTAAAAAAAAAAATTGAACTTTAATTATTGTGGATTCAGTGACATCAAAGAGGGCAATTCATCAAGTGCATTAATCTTTTGGAGTTTCAGGAACTATTTGATTATGCTTCTGCATATGTGATGCCACTATGTTTTTGTGTTTAATTATGTGTAAATCCAAGTTCACCCCTATGTGGAGTTTTTCTGTTTGTGTCATACATTATGGTATATATCCATTTAGGATTGCATGATGATGAAATAGTGCAATGCTACTTGGTTTTTTGTTGTTTTTGGGATAGACATTTTACTTGCTAAAACTGGCATGGTAACTTTTCAAATTGCTTGATGCTTATGATCTTCTTTAGAAATGAAATTTGATTTTGACCTCAATTGAAGTTCATTTTGAGTAAACTTTTCTATCCTCTAGTTAAATTGTTATTTTACATATTACAAAATCTTTAAATTTTTGATTTATGTTATTTTGAGCCATGTCGGATGCTGATCTAGTAACTGTTTGGTGCTAACCTAATAAATATTTCCATTCCGTAACTCTTGGAGAAAGTTTTGGAGGATTTTGGACCTAAGATGGTAGACTTGAGAAGCTTACATTGATTATTGATTTGCTTCTTTGAAAGCTGAATGGATGCTTTATCTTGTTTCACATTTTAAATTACTACACTGGTGTTCAGAATTTCCTTTCCTTCTGCCACAAAACTTATTATGAATAACATTTATGATTCCCTTGTGTATCTTACAGTTGACAGTCTGTGTATCACAGGGTTGATGCCTATCCCTGATTTGATATTGCAATTTGAGAGATCTTGCCGCAATGTATCAGAGTCAATAAGGTGGGTCTCACACTTCTCGTATATTTGTATTTCTATTGAAGAGTCTTCTTTCGGAATGTGTGCACATGTACCACTATAGCATGCTGAGTATTGTGAATATTATTGTAGTATTTTACTTTGCATGCACGAGAAACGTATCTTTATTAGGATGAAAATAGGAGGTGGGTAGACAAGGGAGGAGGAAGTCTCATTTCTAGTTTATAAAGAAAGAAACAATGAGAAAGGCTAAGAAGCACGGACACTTCTAAGAAGGTAACGTATCCGTGTCATGTCCGTGTCGAACACCGACACTCTTTGGACACTCTTAGGACACGTGTCTGACACTCTTCAAAATATGTCCTAATTTTTAAATTTTTTTAAAGACCCGGACACTCTTTGGGTACTTAGAAGCTGTGTTACATGGACTCTTCTATTTCCCCCACAATACCCGTGTCCACCGGATATGACATGGATAAGGGTGTGGGATATGTGTCTGACGCTCGTACCCAATTTAGACACTCAGATCCTTTAATTTGTGACAACACATGAAGAAAAAGAAACTTGCATTTGTTAGTAAAGCAATATTTTTAGGCTTCTACATGAATTAGATATAGAAATTTCATATTTTTTTCTAAATCATATTTAATTTCTAATATATTTTTACATAATTTAAATCATCTCATCTGAGAATATTATATAATATGCAATATATATGTACATATGACATGTCCCCGTATCCATATCCAATTTTGGATACATACCCCAAGATCCTAAGATTTAAATTTATGAAGATCTGATGCTTGGATACACACCCGCACCCGACACTCGTACCCGAGTCCATGTAACATAGCTTAGAAGACACACCATGTCAATCACATAAACACACGTGTCTATCGACTGGACACATGTGAAACTAATTATAAGTTTAAACAAAATAACTTAAGACACAATAATAAAACAAAAACCATATAAATCTATAGGAATTAGTGTCACATTACATTTTTTATTATCTTTGAATAATATATTCATATATATAATATAGAATAAATATATAAAATTATATATTTCATGCGTGTCCCTCACATGTTGTGTCCTGCATTTTTTGAAAATTAGCGTGTCGGCTTGTCCGTGTCTGTGTCTATACTTCTTAGGAGAAAGGTCTCTGCCTAAAATATTTTGTATAGTGCACATTTTTTTTTGTCTGTAAATACTGGCTCTGAATTGTGCTGAATGAGGTTCGTAGGATGCAGTTATCATGAATATTTTGTTTTGATTTTTTCATATTAAATTTGGTAATGCTTAGCATCTTGGTTGTTTGTTTTACTGTATCCTGTGCTCTACTTCCGTAGGTATGGATCCAATGAAAGACAAAGAATTGTGGAGGACAAGTTGATGAGGCAGAAGGCTCGACTCTTACTTGATGAGGCTGCTTCTTGGTCTCTTTTGTGGTACCTATATGGGAAAGGAAATAAATCTCTACCATTAATGTTCCTATCATAGAATTGATGTTTTATATAGATAAAGTGGACTCTACAGTGTCACTACAACAATGTTGAAACTTCTTGAATGCATGCTCATTGAAGTTTGAGAAGTTCATACTTCATGATTTATGTATTGAGGAGTGAAGTATTTGTGTAATTTATCCATTCTCTGTTGGTATCAAATTATTTAGTTGTGCATAAGAAGAAATAGCATTGTGACATTCAAAAATGATTTTAAAGTAGTTCCATGTTACTAGATTAAAGCACATTTGAAGTTTATATTTGTCAGTTACATCCCTACTGAATATATGAATATATAAGTGATCTGACCATTCTCTTTGATATTTACCATTAATTCGTCTCTCTTGGTCAATGTAATATTTGACCACTCCACTCTGCACCTCACCTTTTAATCCACTGTTTCAATCGGGCTAGTTATGTAGACTTCTGAGAATCTTGTTGGTTCATGGTGTAACGATCTTCATGAGACAACATTGGTATATGTTACAATATCGGATCATGAATCAGCTAGTATTAGAAATCTTGGAAGATTTTTATTCCTGATTGTTGGTGCATGTCATACCTGATACCATGTCTAATTGAACACTTAGAAAGCTTTACAAAGTGTTATCATTTGCCTTATTAAACAAATTTCTATTTGATGGTGAAATCGGTCATTCTTTTATATACATTTCTCATCTCGTAACTTCCTCCAAATTACATATTTGCTCACATAGTTTCCTGGTTAGGAATAATGATGCATATTGAAGTTACTTAGTGTACTTGAATGTTTAGACAAGGTATTCTTGTTGGCTCCTGCATGTTTATGTTGGCTTGTTTGTGAAATTTGTTTTTTCATCTTCTTGCAGGAAATGAAGAACTTCCAGAAGATCTGATGCTGGTGATGCATCTTCTATTGTCAACTCTCAAGTTTTCCATTATGTTTTCTTGCTCTTATTTTGTGAGCTCATCTAATGCCTTATGACAGTCCCCTACAACTTCGCATTTGGAGGCTTGCCAGTTTGTTGTTGCAGATCATACAGCACAATTAGGCCTCCGGATTGTTCAGTTGTTTTGTGAAATTATTTTTTTCATCTTCTTGCAGGAAATGAAGAACTTCCAGAAGATCTGATGCTGGTGATGCATCTTCTATTGTTAACTCTCAAGTTTTCCATTATGTTTTCTTGCTCTTATTTTGTGAGTTCATCTAATGCCTTATGACAGTCGCCTACAACTTCGCATTTGGAGGCTTGCCAGTTTGTTGTTGCAGATCATACAGCACAATTAGGCCTCCGGATTGTTCAGTGGCTTGAAGGATTAGCCTCCAAAGTGCTTGATTTGGATAATGAGGTGATGACTCTGCTACTTTCTCCTGTTTTGACAGTCTAATGCTTATCCATGGTTTGTTGTTTCTTTACTTTTTAAAATTTAATTTTGATTTTGAATGTCTTTCTTGTTGCATTTCAAAAGATAGTCTGAAGCTGCCAACTATTGTGAATTGATACCATAATCCACCATATACTTGAATTATTTATTCCTTTTTCGATTAGAGAAATTATCATAGTTGAAGGTGGCTATTTTCCGCTGTTATTATTTTTTAGTTTATTTGAGGTCTATTTTAGTAAACAAATGATTTAAGATAGTGAAAATTAACATCTTTTTTCTTTAACATGCACATCAATGAGGTGTAAGGCTTGGAGTGCCTTCTTTCCAAATTAGCAGACAATTTAGTGATCAAAAAGACTTTTTCCCTGGAGAGATTTCAGTGCACGTTAATAAATCAAATATATTATCAAGATATTGGGTGGCAAAGAAGATAAAATATGCAATAGGTTTTATGTGCTGAAATTTGAAAGCAAAAGATCTAAAGCTTTAATTTTGTATTAGTAAAAGGAGAATGTGATTTGGTAGAAAAATCAGTGACTTGCAACATTAATTGCCTGGTTGTAGGAGAGTAGTGATGGGCCCTTGGAGTGTTAAACAGGAGCAATTGTAAATTGTATTCTAAAAGCAAAATTTTGTTTTAATACATTGTAGTTCTGAAGGCTGTTTGGTGGGAAGGTTTTCAAAGCATGATATAGTCTTGGAAAAGGGAGAACTTAAGTAGATAATTATATTTAAATGGAGACTAGTAAGTCTTAAGATATATAAAAATTCACATGACGATCCATATTGTAAGTTTACAACTATGGTGTGTGGTGATCAAGACATGCATGTACTAACTAAAATAAGTCATCTAGAAACTAGAGATGGATTATATTATATGCATCATGGGTGAGGATCAAATGCTCGTGTCATGAAGAAATCAAAGGATGTGGAACAGTGACAACTTTACATTCAGTATATAGCGATCCCGGGTTTACCCTTGTTATACCGTGATCCGGACATGTGTCCGTGGATGTTGGTAGTTGTTTATTAT